AACCAATGTCATAAAACAACATGTGTACTACTGTTTCATGAGAAACTATTTGTTCTGTAAGCCTTCACCTGAAGTACAACAAATAAATTAATTAATTAAGAAAGAAAAAAAAAGCCTATGGAGCAGTTCTACTCTGTTACACATGGGGTTGCCATGAGTTGGAATCAACTCGATGGCAACAGATTTGGTTTCGCTTAGGTCTTCTCTACTCCTCAAATTCTAAGAGCTACCAGCACAATCATAAATAATTTGTATACATCTTGGTTACTTGCATCCTCACAAAAACTGGATAATGTAACTATCATGATCCTCATTTTGCAGATGAGAAAACTGAGGCTTAGAAAGATTAGCTAACAAGTGAAAGATGCCAAAGCTCCCCACATACTCCAAAATGGTATCACCTCTTCCACAATCAAAATTCCATAGTTTAATGAAATTCGTCTTAGCAAGGAATTTAGAGAAAGCAATATGAATAAAACAAGCCAATTTTTGTCGGTAACTAGTAACATCATGCTCTTCCAAATGTGCTTGATTTTTTGTAAAAGGATGTAACCAGGTAGGTGAGCAAACCCTGACCATGAGTTCTCCCTTAGGTTCCTATGCTCGTAGCTGCTGCCATTTCTTGGGCCCCTTTCCTCCTTTCACTTCTGAATTCATTTGCATGTGCAGACTGTCTGAAAGTGAAGATTTAAGACATAAGCTGCCAATTTTAAAAAATAGATACAAATTAAAGCTTAAAAACTGCATATTGGAAGGAGCACTGAAGTATAAGAAGAATAAAGCTTATATCAAATACATACTAAAGTTCTCTTGCTACTTGGTTTAACCTAATTCCAATATGTTAACTGTCTTCTATATGAAGTCAGTGTGGAGTACAGAATATGAAACTATGAAGAACAAGGCTTTGTAGTTTTACAAACCTGTTTATTAGTACTAATCTTGTGATTTATGAGGCCTTAGGCAAAGCACTTGGAGCCCTGGTGGTGCGATGGTTTAAGAGCTTGGCTGCTAACCAAAAGGTCAGCAGTTAATTACTAGCTGCTCCTTGGAAACCCTATGGGCAGTTCTACTGTATTCGATGGGGTTGCTATGAGTTGGAATAGACTCGACAGCAATGGGTCGTTTTTTTGGATTTTTTTTAGGCAAAGTGTTTAAACTCCCTAAGTCTGAGTTATCTCATCTACAAAATAGGAATAATAATACCCATCCACCTTACAGGGTTGTGTGGGGATTAAATATCATTAAACAAGGCAAGTTCCTAATTCAACTGTGTGACTTATAGTAGGTACCCAATAAATCCCTGGTGCTATTTACCCACATTAGCTGAAGTTTGGTCACCAACTACCTGCAGATCCAACGTAGAGTCACTTAGGCTCTTTGTACTCCAGAGTTTGAAAACACACAGACTTTAAACAGAAATAATAATATTTGGCTCACTCTCATGCCTTCTTTGAGAATTAACATAAACTAATGTATGAGATGTTACTGTGGAAATGCAAAAGTGCTAGAATGTGTGGTATTGTTAGATTTTGTAATAATTAAGGTAACATGTGACCTACACATCACAAGAGTTTTGTAAGAACTTGGAGATTATGTATGAAAGCATTTTTTTAAATTAAAAACTACCATCCAAATCTAAGTGTTTATTAACACAGATTCTAAATCCAGACTGCCTGGGTTCAAAACCCAGGTCTGCCACACTCTAGCTACTGGACCATGGGCAATTACCCCTTTTGTAACTTAGTTTCTCATCTGTAACAATGGGAACAATGACAGAACTTGCCTCATAGAGATGTCTGGGAGATTAAATGAGTTAATATATGTAAAGTACTTAGAGTACTTGGAATGGAATGGACATAGTATGTACAATGTAAATATTTCTTATTAGTATTACTAAAACACACATATATTTTGAGTTTAAGGTATTTTTAGAATGCATATTAAACCTTAGGTGCTTAAGAGTAACTATGAAAAGAGCATGTTTTCAAAAAGTAATGCTTCATTTTCACTTTTCATTGATCTTCAGTTATAAATAGATCATAACCTATCATAAGCCATTTTCACAAATAAAAAAACATGCAGGAAACTAAATATATTTACTGTAGTACTTGTCTGATATACTATTTTGGAAACACTGGCTCACCTACAAATCACAGTAACTTTAATCCATCACTTATTTATGGAATTTTATAATTTAGAAAACAATTTCCCATTCTGTTTTCTTATTTTATTCTTACATCATCCTATGAAATAAAAAGAATAGTCATAACTGTTCCCATTTTAAAGGTGAGAAAAGTAAATCTAAGCAAGGTCAAGTAATTTGTTCAAAATCACACAACTATTATACACTTGGTTCAGTCTCCAAGAAGGACTTTTTATTCTTATGATGGTAATTTTTCCACAACATCAAACTACTCCACAAGCAACCCAGAAACTCTGTCTAGAAACAAAGGCCATTGTTGTGGCCTGCTGACATATTTTTAAAGATCCTTACTAAATGATTTCATAAAATACACAGCTTAAGGAGAATTACTTTGCTAATGTATCCTGCAGATTGGATTTGTTATCCTTGATTGTCCTTAAAGGTACACCTCCTTCCACACTACTCTTACATGTAAAATACATAAGTTTATATTCTGCAGTGAACTTGGTCCATTTATAGCTAATTTGTGTAAGTAAGCTTTAAGTAAATTCTAAATTATTGCACATCAAATATTAAAAACATAAATGTAATAACCAATAAATAAATTTTATTTTAAAAAAAACTTACATAGCTTCTGGATTCATTAGACAGATGGCTCCTGAACAGTGACATTCCTTTGGGTCATCATATGACAGTCCCAGACTAAGTCCCAGCAACTGAGTAACAATAACTGAAAATGCCTCCAAAGTTATCTCCTTGGGATACTACATGAACAACAAAGAAAATTCAAAGAAGTCAACTCAAATGATGGTATAAATAATATTCTAAGTATTTTTATTGTTTTATCAAATGTTTTAAAATAGGGAGATATGATTCCTTGGACAGGTGAGAAGCTATTCTTATTAAGTTGCAGCTGAGATATAAGCATACTGAATAATGCCACGCTTTGCCACATTTTAACAACTGAATATCTAAAATAATTAAGCACCTATCATAACTTATAAAAAAAAAGGGGGGGCTGTTTTTGATGAAGAATATTTATATTAGATTTTTAGCTACTGGGACCACAATCTTCCATTCACCTAATTTCTGGCAACAACTCTGATATTTGTTTAGGATAATTCAGATGATACTCCTCCTCCCAGATCACAAAGTGGTCACAAAACCAAGTTACCCAGTTTAACTGTTTTATCTTCTTCCTGCTAGGACCTTCACTGATACAGTAAGTGGTATCAAGAGAAGCCACAGAAAACAGACCCTTAGATCAAGCGGCTTAGATTAAGAGAGCAATCTTAAACGAAGTGGCTCCCATATTTCCAGGGCACAGATAACTTCCTTACCAACGAGAAATGGGACACTGATAATTCAAGGTTTGCAATGACATGATAACTTCTCAAATTATTACCAAAGCTGGCATGAAAAAAAGTGCAGGTGGAGGCCAAGATGTCAAGAAAATCAAAGCACTTAATTACTATGGTAGCAATAGTGATTATAAAGATTCTGGGGTCATCTGGCTTCTTATGACAGCCTCAGAGAATGGACATAATGAAAATTAGAAAGGAAAGATGTAAATGAGCAACTCAGACTGTGAACAGACAACCAGAAAGCCTCTGCAGCAGCACTGAAGAAACTTGTCATTTCTTATAGTCACTGGATTGACATGGCTGAAGACCAAGCCCAAGGTGTAATAATAAGGATTGCAGGGTTGCAGCACCATCTAACACTCAAGACCACCAGATGTGGTGGAGAAGGAGTTGGAATCTCAAACTTGGGATGGGGATATTTGAAGAGACATGGACAAATACCCCTTCCTTTGCCAGCAGAGAAAGACCTCTCCAAACTCTGAGAGAGCCCGCCCCTGCATTAAAGAAAAAAAAAGAAGAAGTTTAGTGATACCTGGGACAGTTGTCTCTCACCCTTTGTTGCCTCCAGGTCCATATTAAGAATTAGATTCCAACATAGTCTGGAAAGAGAATGTTCTGCTCTGGGAGAGGACAGTTTATACTTTGAAAAAATTTGACCCAGGGGTATGAAATAGATGGATAAACTGCAACAACTTTATTGAAATGGGTGACAGACTTGGGACTCTGTATTTAATGCGTTAGGTCAAAGCAGGAGTAATGTTAATATTCTACTAGGATGACTAACTAAAGTTAGACTTAACAGTCGCCTACTGTCAGTGAGGTCAAATACTGGAACTTTCCAGGCATATCGTACATTAAGGAGTGTTGAGTTTCAGATGTATGTGAATAATGAATGACTCTATTACATGCAGTCTGTTCAGTAACCACCCCTAACCATACCCCAGAGAAGGTCGAGAGGACAATTCCTTCACTAAGGCATTAAATAATACTTTGATGAGAGGAACACCAATACAGTCAAAAATCTTTAGTGGCTGTTTTCTGTAAGTTTGAAATGATGATAGTGGATGCTTCAGTGTAACTTGCTTCTCTGAAATTAATGGGAATAATGGGACCAGGAGTAGTATAGGTTATGTGGCAATACTTAACTGTCTGAGAAAAAGTGGTTTAAATTACCACAATAAGCTAGAGGGACTTCGATATGATCAGTGTTTTGAGCCACAAGGACTGTGGCAATTACTTCAGGGAACCTAAAAATAAAATATACAGGCACCAATTTAAATGTGTTCTTGACATATTAAAAACAAAAATACCAAACCCATTGCCATCGAGTTGATTCCAACTCACAGCAACCCTACAGAACAGAGTAGAACTTCCCCGTAGGGTTTCCAAGGCTGTAAATCTTTATGGAAGCAGAATGTCACATTTTTCTCCCCTGGAGCGGCTGGTGGGTTTGAACTGCTGGTCTTTTAGTTAGCAGCCGATCTCTTTAACCACTGTGCAACCAAGGCTCCATCTAGTATGTGCCACAAACAACCCATCCCAGCCCCTCCCCTTGAGCTGGACCTGCCGTGCTGCACCATAGCTGAGCGACTGGCCCTGCCCGTTGGACAAAGAGGTGAAAAGTATCATGCCCACAGATGAGCAAGCAACGAAGAATGCACAGCCCACCTGCTCAGACATAAACAAATAAAACAAAAAAGCAGGATGAAACAAACAAATATACAATCAATAAATGAAGAAAATAACTACTGAATGTCCCAAAGATGGCAGACAATATCAAAACATATAAAAAAACAGGACAGGATGGTTCCAGTAGGCATCTAAAATAAAACACCAGATGACTTTCCAGTAAAAGAAAAGCCACTAGAACTACCTGATAGGGAATTCAAATCTCTAATATTCAGAGACATTGAAGAGTTGAAGCAAAAAGCAGACAAAAATGAGGAAAAAATAGACAAATTCATGGAAAATATAGATAAAATAATGGAAGAATTCAGGAAAATGATACAGGAACAAGATGCCAAAATAAATTCGCAACTAGAAATTATACAAAAACAACACTCATAAATCCAGAAGATAAACAAGATTTCAAAAATGGACAGTGTTACAGAAGGGTGGAGGAGCAGGTTTGAAATGATGGAAAACCAGGTCAGCAAAATTGAAAACAAACACTTGGATACAACTTTGTTTGAGGAAAAAACAACAAACAAAAATGAAGAAACCCTGAGAATTATGTGGGATACAATCAAAAGCAAAAATCTGCAAGTGACTGGAGTTCCAGAACAGGGGGAGAAAACAGGAAACACAGAGAAGATCACTGAAAAACTGATGACAGAAAACTTTCCTAATATCATAAAAGATGAAAAGCTGACCATCCAAGAAGCTCAACGAACCCCATATAGGATAGACCCCAAAAGAAAATCACCAAGGTATATCATAATCACACTCAGTAAAACCAAAGACAAAGAAAGAACCCTGAGAGCAGCTCAAGAAAAATGAAAAGTCACACATGGAGGGGAAACAATAAGACTAAGCTCTGATTATTCGGCAGAAACCATGCAGGCAAGAAGGCAATGGGATGACATATATAAAACCTTGAAAGAAAAAAACTGCCAACCAAGAATAATATATCCTGCAAAACTCTCGTTCAAATATGATGGTGAAATTAGGACATTTCCAGATAAACAGAAATTAAGGGACTATGTAAAAGCCAAACCAAACTTACAAGAATTATTAAAGGGAGTCCTTCGGTTTAAGAACAAACAACACCAGACTGCAGGCTGAATCTAGGATGCAGGATCATACCAGCCAGACACCAACCTAGGAAATGAACTCTGAAGGACTATCCAAAACCAAAAGAATTGCAACAGGGAACCAGGGAGGTTAATCTGTAAATGACAACACATCAGAACAATAAAAGAGGGAATAAACAGTGTAGGTATAGAACTTTCTAATGGAGAGGATCGATAAGCAGTAACTTTGATGAAGGGTAAGACAGTATGCAATACTGGGAAAGCGAGCACAGCTTGTACAAGGCAAGGTCATGGAAGCTCCGTAGACACATCCAGACTCCCTGAGGGATCAAATTGCTGGACTGAGGGCAGTGGGGACCGTGGTCTCGGTGAAAATCTAGCTCAATTGGCATAACAGTTTATAAAGAAAATATTTTACATTCTACTTTGGTGACTAGCGTCTGGAGTCTTAAAAACCTGTGAGCGGCCATCTTAAGATACTCCACTGGTCTCACCCCTTCAGGAGCAAGGAAGAATGAAGAAAACTAAAGATGCAAGCAAAAGGTTAGTCCAAAGGACTGATGGACCACATTTACCACAGCCTACACCAGACTGAGTCCAGTACAACTACATGATGCTCAGCTACAACCACTGACTGCTCTGACAGGGATCACATTAGAGGGTTCCAGACAGAGCTGGAGAAAAATGTAGAACAAAATTCTAACTCACAAAAAAGACCAGACTTACTGGTCTGACAGAGACTGGAGAAACCCCGAGAGTATGGCCCCTGGACACCCTTTTAGCTCAGTAATGAAGTCACTCCCGAGGTTCACCCCTCAGACAAAGATTAGATAGGTCCATAAAACAAGACTAAAGGGGCACAGCAGCCCAGGGACAAGGACTAGAAGGCAAGAGGAGACAGAAAAGCTGATAATACGGAACCCGAGGTCAACAAGGGAAAGTGTTGATGTGTTGTGGGTTGTTAACCAATGTCATAAAATAGTAGGTGTACTAACTGTTTAATGAGAAACTAGTTTGCTCTGTAAACCTTCATGTAAAGTACAATTTAAAAAAAGAGAAAAAAATGCCAAGGTCGGCCAACTCTTTTTCATCATCGAAGTAAATTTTTATCATTTATTTTTTTACGTATGTATTAAAATGTCTGTAAGTTTATATGTAATGTTTCCAACCCCCAAAGACAAATAAAGATTGGATTTATGAAGATACTGATAATAAAAGGCAATAATAATGAATACTAAAAGAGAACAGACTTACTACAGAGAAATTGGAACAGAACTCTGGTGTAAGTCGGGGACTACCTGTATAGTCATTCTTATAGGTATGTACTGGTATCTCATTGTTGTTCTAATTTGCAGTTCCCTAATGACATATGTGCTCAGCTGCTAACCAAAAGGTGGACGCTGGGAACCCACCCAGCAGCTACGAGGAGAAAAGACCTGGTGATCTGCTCCCATAAAGATTACAGCCTGGGAAACTCTATGGTCCAGTTCTCTCTGTCATATAGGCTCGCTATGAGTTGGAATCAACTCAACAGCAAACAACATATGACTGAGCATCTTTTCATATGCTTATTTGCAATCTGTATATCTTCTTTGGTGATGTGTCTTAATTTCAGTTTTTTGCCTATTTTTTAGTTGGGTTGTTGGT